GAACCCCCTTTCAGGTAGTTGAAAGCAGCTATCAAATCCCCCCTCATTCTTCTCCTCCGCAGACTAAACAATCCCAGTTCCCTCAGTCTCTCCTGGACTGATTAGGGGACTCATGTGTTCCAGTCCCCTAATCATTTTTGTTGCCCTCCGCTGGACTCTTTCCAATTTTTCCACATCCTTCTTGTGGTGTGGGGCCCAAAACTGGACACAGTACTCCAGATGAGGCCTCACCAGTGTCGAATAGAGGTGAACGATCACGTCCCTCGATCTGCTGGCAATGCCCCTACTTATACAGCCCAAAATGCCATTGGCCTTCTTGGCAACAAGGGCACACTGTTGACTCATATCCAGCTTCTTGTCCACTGTCACCCCTAGGTCCTTTTCTGCAGAACTGCTGCCGAGCCATTCGGTCCCTAGTCTGTAGCGGTGCATGGGATTCTTCCGTCCTAAGTGCAGGACTCTGCACTTGTCCTTGTTGAACCTCATCAGATTTCTTTTGGCCCAATCCTCCAATTTGTCTAGGTCCCTCTGTGTCCTATCCCTACCCTCCAGCGTATCTACCTCTCCTCCCAGTTTACCCTCTGGGGTATCTATAACTGCCCTGTCTGCAATGCCTGCCCACCCTGCCCCCCAAACCTGCCCTGTGGAGAAGGGAAAACCCCCTGGGGTATCTGTAACTGTAGTAGCAGGATTTTATGTCTGTAGTTTGTATAATTTAGAATGAAGGATAAAGAATAATAATACAGCATGTATGATTTGACCATATTCTGCCAGCCACCGTTTCTGAAAGCAGGAAGGAATGGCCTAGTGGGCCATTGGTAAAGATGCATCAGCCAGAATCTTTTGTCTGAAGCTGATTTCAAGGCAGTAATAGATCCGTAGGGTCACCACTTTGTTGTAGGTTTAAAATGAGCATTTTGAAGTAAGTAGAAGTATGCAATGATTGTTTTCTCCTGCATTGCAATTTGATGTTCCTGTTCAAATGTTCTGTGTAAATCAATCCTGTTTTGCATGTGAATGAGGAATGTGTGCGTTAGAAAACCGTGAAGGCCGTCACCAGACCAGATGTTCTAGGGAGGAACTGAGGATAGACGTAAAGGTGCCAGAAGATTGCAACACGCCCCTATTGAGATGTCAGAGGAGGGCAGATTGATGACTCTAAAAGATGGGGCAGGAACTTGTTAATGGGGACAAGATAGTTGTGATCAAACCCAGCATGGGGTAACTCGGGTGAAGGAACAAGATAAAGGATGAGGAGAACAATTTAAGAAAATAAGCACTCGTCAAACGGCGATTGATCACAGCATGACGGTGCAAAACTCATTGGTCCCAATGAAGGAGAATCACTATATAAACAGGGGGCCTTGCCATGAAACTTTGGGTTCGTCCTGCCAAGACTTCCCCGGAGCATCGTGTCGCAACCGACAGAACCCGGCTCCTCCCTCTCCTTGATCAACCTAGCTGGCCACTAGATTGGTCCATACTTTGGACTGGTAACTATGACTTTAACTATAACATCGACTGGTGGGACAGTTTGGGTGTGGGAGGGGGTATGTTTGATTAAAAGCATATGCTAATTGTTGTATGTCCAATAAATGCAGCGTGTTGCCTTTTCCCCTGAAAAAGATTCTATGTGCTTCTTATAAGCAAAACATAACTGCCCCCTCTGCAATGCCTGCCCTCCTTTCACTCCAAAATGGCCCCCATGGGGAAGGGGAAAGTTCCATTTCCCACCATCCCTCTGCTGCCCTCAGGTGCTCTTGGGAAGGAGGCTGAGAGATGAGAGCTGGGGAACCCACTGCTGTATGTGGCCCCCTGAGCCGACGCCTCCAGTGTTGTGCCCAGGGTGGGGAAGACCTGGGGTGGGACGCTGCTTGGGCTTGAGGGGCACCGGCAGAGCTGTGGGGGCGGGGAGCCCAGGGCTGGGATAATAAAAGGCTGCGTGTCAAGATTAAGGGGCACCCCAGTCTCCACAGACCATCCAGCTCCCTCCTGCACCCTAGTTCCACTCACCCCTACACCTGCAGAGTGGGGGCCCAGCACCAGGCTCTCCTACCGTGCAGCCCGGGTTCCTCACGGTTTGTGACTCGGAGCCTCGGGAAGCGGCATGCATAGGACTGTGAGCGCAGAAGTAAGCGCTAGTTGCGGGGCTGTTGCGGGGAGATGCTGTCTCAGAAACCCCAGCACCAGCATCGTGCCGACTTCCTCTCCCTCTGGCTGGGGCTGCCTGTGGCTTCCTTGCAACAGAGGCAGGCTGCATCTTGCTTGTGGGGCTGGAAATAGAACCCAGGAGTCCGGGTCTCTGAACCCTTTTACAGCTCACTCTCCTCCCAGAGCTGGGATAGAGCCCAGGAGTCGTGATTACCTGCCTCCAGCCCCCACTCTAATGCACTAGACCCTGCTGCCTACCCAGAGCCAGGGACAGAACCCAGGAGTTCTGGTGTGACATTGCACTCCATATGTTTATGGAAATATGCTTATGAGTGTGAATATAATGTAACTGGAATACGCTTTATGCAAAAGGTCTCTTGTAAGGTATCATTACAAAGTTTATAATCTGCTGAGTGTGGTTATCCTATTTGTATGAATGTGTCATTCTTGTATCTGAAGCTAGAAATAGGAAGTTTTACTCTGAAGTCCTATTGTAATTATGCAAAATGTGGGCCATTAATGGTGGTTTAGAATCTTGATGGCTCCCACTGACCAGGAAACTTGGTTGTAAATGGCTCTGTTTACCTGTAAGCCTTCCTGTGAGTCAGACCAGAAAGAATGGAGGCTTGGGGGTCTCACAGGACATGTGACCCTGTCACCTGGTACTCGAATCCATCTTAAACCTGGTGCCTTTCCATTTAGAAGGAGGGGTGGGGACCCAGAGAGAAAAAGGTTCCTGCCTTGTTCCAAAACCATAAGAGGGGGCGGAACAGAACAAAGGGGGCTGCAATCATGAGAACTACTACTTACCACCTGAGCTGGAACTAACAAGGACTGTACCAGGGGAGAGGATTAGGCCTAGACTAGGAAGGAGTCTGGTCTGTGAAAGAAGCTCCTTGGAACGTCTCTGAGGGTGAGATTTACCTGTATTCAGTTTCTTAAATGTATTAGGCTTAGACTTATGTGTTTTGTTTTATTTTGCTTGGTGACTTACTTTGTTCTGTCTGTTATTTCTTGAAAGCACTTAAATCCTACTTTTTATACTTAATAAAATCACTTTTATTAATTAACCCAGAGCAAGTGATTAATACCTCGGGGAGCAAACAGCTGTGCATATCTCTCTATCAGTGTTACAGAGGATGGACAATTTATGAGTTTACCCTGTCTAAGCTTTGTACACAGTAAAAAGGATTTATTTGGGGTTTGGATCCCATTGGGAGCTGGGTGTCTGGGTGCTGGAGATAGGTGACCTATGGAGTAGTTTTTGGTTAAAAGCTGCAGCTTTGGGGGCGTGGCCCAGACCTGGGTCAGGGTTGCAGCAGGCTGGTGTGTCTGGCACAACAAGACAGGGTTCTGGAGTCCCAGACAGTCAGTGGAAAACAGGCTCAGAGGTTCAACAGGCTCAAATTCAGCACATCAGGTGACAGTCTCAAGGGGGTCTCTGTGACGGAACCCGTCACAGTGGTGAAGTCGAACAGGCTATGTGCACAGCTGATTGCTTTGACACAATGGTAAGGATTTTAAGTGAGTTTTAAGTGTGTTGGCTGGAGAACAGACAAAGCGGTTACCAGTTTATTTTCTGTTTGCTTATTTTGGGTAAGGGAAATAGGGACAGAAAAGTAAGAGTGAAACTCAGAAGAAGCTAGAACTGCACCAGTTGCAAGTTGTTAGGAAGGAAAGAGAGAGCCAGCAAGTCCTTGAGTTCAAAGACAAAGAACTTGAGGCCCAGAAACAGAGTCAAATCAAAGTACAAAAAGCTGCCCACCAGCTAGATCTGGAGTTAAAAGACAGAGAAATACAGGCCCAAATTGAGACCCAGAAGCATGAACTGGCTGTAATGGAGTGGAAGAGGTGCACAGAGACCTGTATCCCAGTCATAAATATAGAGGGAAGAGTAGCCTAAAATCCCTCCTTGGCAGCTGTACTAAATTACCTTACCTGTAAGGGGATAAACAGTTCCATAACCTAGTTAGCACCTGACCAAAAGGACCAATGAGGAAAGAAGATACTCTCAAATCGGGGGAGGTGGGGGCAGGGAGAAGGATTTGTGTGTGGCTTTCTTTTTGGTTCCCTCTCAGGACAGACAGAGAAGCCAAGCAGGGGCAACATCTCCTGAAAATATACCTGGAATTTACTATGTAAAATTACAGCAATTGTAAGTAAAGGCAAGGAAATGCATTAGGTTATCTTTTGTTTTAGCTTGTGAATTTTCCTATGCTACAAAGGTAGTTTTATTCCTGTTTTTGTAACTGAAACTGAGCCAGAGGGGAATCCTTTATGTTTAAATCTTTTTATTACCCTGTAAAGTTACCTTCCATCCTGATTTTGTGGTGTGATTCTTTTACTTTTTCTTTATAAATAAAGTTCTTCTTTTAAGAACCTGATTGATTTCAGTGTCCTGAAGACAAAGGGTCTGGTCTGTGCTCACATTGGGAACTGGGTGCTGGAGACAGGTGACTTGCTGAGTTGTTTTTGTTTAAAGTCTGCAGCTTTGGGGGTGTGGAGCAGACCCGGATCTGTGTTGCAGCAGGCTAGCGTGTCTGGCTCAACAAGGCAGGGTTCTGGAGTCCCAAGCTGGCAGGGAAAACAGGCTCAGAGGTAACTTCAGCACCTCAGGCGACAGTACCAAGGGGATCTCTGTGACCGAACCTGTCACACCTGGCTCTGAGACCCTCTACACCCCAGTCTCCTCCCAGAGCTGTGGATGGAACCCAGGAATCCTGGCTACCTGCCCCCGATCCCAGCTCTATCCCTTTATTACTGCTTTTTGCAGTCCTACAATAATATTTGAACGCTAGCAGCTCACACCTCTTATTGTATTGAACACGCTGCAGACACTAATCACTCACCTCGAGCTGAGAGGCAGCCGCCTCCGGGGTGGGGCAGCTGGGGAACAGCCGCACAGCGACACTGTCCAGGGGTTGCTCACCTGGAGCTGAGATGCGTCCACCTCTGGGGTGGAGCAGCTGGGAACAGCGCACTGGAACAGCAGATGCCTGGTTAGGACGGCGAGCGAATCCCAACTCCAATGGGAAGAGCCGGGTGCGTGCGGAGACCTGCCTGGCAGGGAGAAGGTGCAAGTGTCAGGGCGAGGGCTGGGGCGAGATGTGAGATTTCAAGACAGGAAGGGGAAGTCAGTTTGTGAATCTGGCCCTAGCCCGTCTTGCACGAGCTGGTTCCAGTGGCTGGAGATCTCGGTGCCATCGATGCAAGACGGAGATTGTCACAGACACAGGCCAGCTCCCACCGACAGCTGGCTTCCAGCCCCCACGTGGGAAGACTGGCTGGGGCTGGGAGGAATGGGGCATGGGGCCTTTCCCCTCTAGGGGGCGCTGGCTCCGATCTGCCCCAGGGTGGGACACTAGCTGGCTCCACAGTGTGGGAATGGGATTCGGGGTCCTTTCCCGCTACGGTCTCTCAGCAGGGGACACACCAGCAGATCGGAGCCGGTCCACTGAGCGCAGATGTTTGCTTTCTGTCTCTCGGTTCCTCAAATGCCTCACGGGTCACTGAGTCTGGGGATTCCCTTGTGAATTCCCGGCTGGATCAGGAGAGGCAGCTGGATTCCACGGCCCGCCACAGACTCCGTCCTTCGACTTAAGAGGTGAGACACAGCTCTGAATCTGGCCTGGGTCCTGGGGGCTGTTTACACAGGGACCTCTCCCCGGCGCTGAGATGTGGCTGCCTCTGGGGTGGGGCTCGGGGGGCTGTTTATACAAGGACTCCTTGCCCGGTGTTGAGATACACAAGGGTTTGGGAGAAACCGATAACTAAAAGAAACACAGGAACCCCTAGGGGCATTGGGACCAGCCCCAGCGGCTGGGCCCTTTCGAGTCTCCCACCCCAGCCAGACCCTGGCCCACTCTGCCCCAGGCCAGCGGCACGTCAGCTCTGCCCCCCTGCGTGTGGGCACCGGCGGCTGTGCTGGGAAGCTGGTTGCTGAGCGGATCTTGCACAACAGGAAGTTTCCAATGGGTGAGTTGGCTTCATCGGCGAGAGCCGCAAGTGTGACAAGGCGGGGTGTTTTGTTTTGTTTTTTCAATGGCTTGCATGCAGAGGGTGTGGGACTCAGTTTCCCTGGGTGTTACTGGTTTAACGAGGTGGTGGGAGAGGGAGTTTGTTGGTACAGAGGGCCCAATGGCCTGGAGAATGGATACCCCAGCGACTGGTGACCTGATAAGCGGGAGGCCGAGCTCGGGAGTCACAGCTGGTTCTGGCCAGCGGGAGGACAATGGGCTGCGGGGAGAGGACCCCGGTGACCTGACCAGCCGGTTCCAGACAGAGGGGAAACAAAGGATGGATGAGAGGAGAGGCTGGGAGAAGAGGGGCCCAGGCAGCCTGTCTACCTGGGACAGAAGACACAGGACAGAGGTGGGGCTTGGATGATGGTGATGTCAGATGCCCAGCTGGAAGGAGGGGGTCTCTGGGCTAGGAGGAGAGAGCAGCCAGAGCCCACCTGGAGGTGGGACAGATCTAGATGTACGGTGCTGAAGGAGGCCAGGCCTGAGGCCCTGAGAGTTTCCTGTGCTGGGTTCAGATGCTCAATAAACCCCCCTGTGTTACGCTGGCTGAGAGTTGCTCCAGGCTAGAGAACAGGGCGACATTATTCCCTTGGGGAGTGGAGGTCCCGGGGGTCCAGAGCGAGTGGACTCCCTGAGTGGGTCCATGGCGAGAGACAGGCGTGCTGAAGCTCAGAGAGGTGCGGTTCCAGGACGTGGAGTGGCTTGACCCCCGAGAAGGGCTGTCGCACTGAAGGGGTTTCCTCCCAGGGACCGTACGGAGCCGACAGAGAGCTCGAGTCCTGTGAGTCCGTGACAACTGGTCCCATTGAACAGTGGGGTGCAGCTGCTTGGACATAGGTCCCCAGCCAGTGGGGGAAGGAGAGAGCCCAGGGCAGATTCCTGCTGGGACTGTGGCTGCCAGGTCTAGTGGGTTAGAACTTGCTGCGCTGGATTCATGCGGATCAGGGCAGACCCCTGGTCGCTGGGGTAAGCTCCGGGGCAGGAACCCCGGGATCCGGGCCGGCCCCTAGTTTGGTGTGTTACATTCTGCCTGTGGTTAATCACTATTTGGTTTCCGACTCTTTTTAGTTAGCTGCCTGGCAGGTTTCCCTCCGTTGCTGTTAAATAGATGCCCCACCTGGAGGTGGCCGCATCTCAGTGCCAGCTGGGCAAGGGATCCCTATATAAACAGCCCCCACTCCCCATCCCAGAGGTGGCCGCATCTCAGCGCTTGGCGATGGATCCTTGTTCATTGTACTGAGCTCAGTATTTGACTCGTCTTTTTCCTGGGTCTTGGGACTTACCAGGTTCAATCAGACTCCAGAAAAAAGAGATTCACTCGGAAATCATAGAATCATAGAATATCAGGGTTGGAAGGGACCCCTGAAGGTCATCTAGTCCAACCCCCTGCTCGAAGCAGGACCAATTCCCAGTTAAATCATCCCAGCCAGGGCTTTGTCAAGCCTGACCTTAAAAACCTCTAAGGAAGGAGATTCTACCACCTCCCTAGGTAACGCATTCCAGTGTTTCACCACCCTCTTAGTGAAAAAGTTTTTCCTAATATCCAATCTAAACCTCCCCCCACTGCAACTTGAGACCATTACTCCTCGTTCTGTCATCTGCTACCATTGAGAACAGTCTAGAGCCATCCTCTTTGGAACCCCCTTTCAGGTAGTTGAAAGCAGCTATCAAATCCCCCCTCATTCTTCTCTTCTGCAGGCTAAACAATCCCAGTTCCCTCAGCCTCTCCTCATAACTCATGTGTTCTAGACCCCTAATCATTTTTGTTGCCCTTCGCTGGACTCTCTCCAATTTATCCACATCCTTCTTGTAGTGTGGGGCCCAAAACTGGACACAGTACTCCAGATGAGGCCTCACCAATGTCGAATAGAGGGGAACGATCACGTCCCTCGATCTGCTCGCTATGCCCCTACTTATACATCCCAAAATGCCATTGGCCTTCTTGGCAACAAGGGCACACTGCTGACTCATATCCAGCTTCTCGTCCACTGTCACCCCTAGGTCCTTTTCCGCAGAACTGCTGCCGTGCCAGTCGGTCCCTAGTCTGTAGCTGTGCATTGGGTTCTTCCATCCTAAGTGCAGGACCCTGCACTTCTCCTTGTTGAACCTCATCAGATTTCTTTTGGCCCAATCCTCTAATTTGTCTAGGGCCCTCTGTATCCTATCCCTCCCCTCCAGCGTATCTACCACTCCTCCCAGTTTAGTATCATCCGCAAATTTGCTGAGAGTGCAATCCACACCATCCTCCAGATCATTTATGAAGATATTGAACAAAACCGGCCCCAGGACCGACCCTTGGGGCACTCCACTTGATACTGGCTGCCAACTAGACATGGAGCCATTGATCACTACCCGTTTAGCCCGACAATCTAGCCAGCTTTCTACCCACCTTATAGTGCATTCATCCAGCCCATACTTCCTTAGCTTGCTGAGAAGAATACTGTGGGAGACTGTGTCAAAAGCTTTGCTAAAGTCAAGAAACAATACATCCACTGCTTTCCCTTCATCCACAGAACCAGTAATCTCATCATAAAAGGCGATTAGATTAGTCAGGCATGACCTTCCCTTGGTGAATCCATGCTGGCTGTTCCTGATCACTTTCCTCTCATGCAAGTGCTTCAGGATTGATTCTTTGAGGACCTGCTCCATGATTTTTCCAGGGACTGAGGTGAGGCTGACGGGCCTGTAGTTCCCTGGATCCTCCTTCTTCCCTTTTTTAAAGATTGGCACTACATTAGCCTTTTTCCAGTCTTGGAGCCCCAAAGTTGCAATCGAAACCTGACATGACTGGTAACATGAGGATCCTGGTAACCGGGGTCCGTCTCTTATTGCTATGCTCTTTGAGGGTAAGTGTTAATTGCCGTCATTATCTGTCTGTCTATCCCTATACACCCCCTCTATCTATCGATCGATCTCTGTTAATAATTCAAATGTCCATTTTTTTCTTTACCCTGAAGATATTTTAAATCATGGGAGGTGGGCCTGGTAATTGAAAAATTTGGGATTTTGTTGTGTGAAAAATTCTTAGCCAATGAATTTTTTCCAGTGACCATTTGTTTTAAACGGCCGACGTCTCTGTGAAACATTTGGAAAACCCCAAAGTCTCGCGGTGATTATTTTTTAAGAAACAGAGAGATTTCCACAAAACATTTATTTTAAAAAACAACCAAAATTTTGTGCAGTAATTTTAATACGAACAAAACATAATTAACATTATTATATAAAATAGATCACGTATATACTCTCTCTCTCTCTCTCTCTCTCTCTCTCTCTCTATTAACATAAAAGTCGGCATAATTAGATACTCTCTATATCAGGGGTGGCCAACTTGTGGTTCCGGAGCCACATGCAGCTCTTCAGACGTTAAGATGCGGCTCCTTGTACAGGCACTGACTCCGGGGCTGGAGCGACAGGTGCCAACTTTCCAATGTGCCAGGGGGTGCTCCCTGCTCAGCCCCTGGCTCTGCCACAGGCCCCGCCCCCTCCCCTGAGCCTGCCGTGCCCTTGCTTCTCCCCCCGAGCCTCCTGCATGCCCCAAAACAGTGATCGGGAGGTGCAGGGAGGGAGCGGGAGGCGCTGGGGGCCGGAGCGGGTGAGCTGATGGGGGGCTGCTGGCGTATTACTGTGGCTCTTTGGCAATGTACATTGGTAAATTCTGGCTCCTTCTCAGGCTCAGGTTGGCCACCCCTGCCCTATATACTGTGTATGTGTATGTATATACAATAACATTATAGTATAATACATATATTCAGATATAGAGATTGAGGTATATATCTACATAAAATAATGAACATAATTGATTAGCATTTCTCCAAAGACTGAACACTTGCTCACGTGCTAAGACCTTGTATGACTTTGTGTAATTGCGCCTTCCGGTGGATCCCTCCAGAACAGCCTATTCCTCCTGCCCCATCTCTCCCATGCAGGATTCCTCCACGTTCAGGCCGCAAACCACCCCTGGATTGGAGAGGGGATCTGTCTTGATCCATGGAGCAAGCGGACGTCTTCTGGGGGAAAACCATTGCTGCCACCATCCTCTACAGGGAGTTGTTGGAGGAGGCGTGGGGCCACTTCTGGTTGCTGGGGGACCTGGAGAAGGTGGGCTGCTAGCTGGGCATCGAGGATGTGACAGATGGGGACAGGGGCTGCAATTATCTGCACATCACCAGGGCGAAATCATTCCAGCACAGCTAGGGAGCAACACAGCCTGCACTCATCATCACGGGTATCCCACCGCTGCCACCTGAGCCAACCAGTCCCCTGCCCTGCGGCAGATTGGAGCCGGCACCCGTAGAGGGGAAAGGCCCCGTGTTCCATTTCCCACCTCCCTGAGTCAGCCAGACCCCTACTCCGGGGCTGAATTGGAGCTGGCGCCCCCTAGGAGTGAAAACCAAAGGCCTCATCTCCCAAGCGAACACCCATCCTCTCCTTGGTCTCGCAGAGCTGACGGAGCAGCTGGTGCTGGGGGTTCCCGAGGTGCTGCTGCCCGGCAGCCGATGAACATAACCTGCCAGGCTCCAGGGAACTGCTCCGGGACCCCTCCCCAGATCACCTGGATGAGAGGGTTCAGCTCCAGAGACAGGGATCTCTCAGTCTCCCTGGCGAACAGCAGCATCTCCTACAGCTCTGTGATAAATGAGGTAGCTTTCCTTCATGGACAGCCAGCCAGTTAGCTGTAATATCCCTCTTGGTAGCTGTTCTCTGCTTGCTTTACCTGTAAAGAGTTAAAAAAGTCCCCCAGGTAAAGAAAAGGACACCAGACCAAAAGAGCCAATGGGAAGGCGAGACCTTTTTAAAATAGGGAAGGAAGCTTTCCCTTTGTGGCTGTGGTTGCTCTTCTCTGGGGTAGAAGGAATGCTGTGTAAAGTTTGAACCAGACATAAAAATCATCAGATCGTATCTAGAACTACTTTTAACAACCCAAATATGTAAGTAAGTTAGGAATGTTTGGAAAGACGCAATTAGGTTTATTTCTGTTTATTTTTTAAGGCTTGTGGACTCCTCTGTGCTAAACCCCAGATGCTTTTGTTAGCTTGTAACCTTTAAGGTGAACCCCCAAGAAAGCTAGTTTGGGTGCTTGATTTTTGGAATTGCTCTTTTAAAATCTAGCAAAAGCCTAAACTCCAGATGTATTTTCTTTCTTTTCATTTTTAATAAAATTTAAGTTTTTTTAAAAAAACAGGATTTGGATTGTTGTGTCCGAAGTGGTTTGGGTCTACGCTGTTTGATTAGCTGGTGGCAACAGCTAATTTCCTTTGTTTTCTTCTCAGCTCTTCCCCGGAGGGTGGGTAAAAGGGCTTGAGGGTATCCCACAGGGAGGAACTCCCAAGTGCTCTTTCCTGGATCCAAAGGTGTTTTTTTTTTTGCATTTGGGTGCTGGGAGTGTTTACCAAGCCAAGTCAGAGAAAAGCTGTATTAAACTCCCAAGGTTATAAGCCTAGAGTGGCAAGTATTTTTTAAAATCCTTGCGGGCCCCCACCTTCTGTACTCGACGTGTCACGGTGGGGATTCAGCTTTCACAAGCTCCGTGCTCAGCTTCACCCTAGCCCCAGGGGACCAGAGCAAAGAGCTCGTCACGTGCCCCACAGTCGGGGTCTCCACCCGTAGAAACCTCTGGCTCCAGGTTGGCTGTCAGTGACCCCCCCATCCAGCTCCAGGAGGGGAGTGTATTCTAGTGATTAGACTGGGGGGGCTGGGAGCCAGGACTCCTGGGTTCTAGCCTTGGCTCTGGGAGGGGAGTGGGGTCTAAAGGTGAAAGCAGGGGGAAGGAAACGCTTTGGCATCTGCAGTACAGCACCCAGCTCCAGCAACAAACGGGAAACAGGTTTCAGAGTAACAGCCGTGTTAGTCTGTATTCGCAAAAAGAAAAGGAGTACTTGTGGCACCTTAGAGACTAACCAATTTATTTGAGCATGAGCTTTCGTGAGCTACAGCTCACTTCATCAGATGCATACCGTGGAAACTGTAGCAGACTTTATATATACACAGAGAATATGAAACAATACCTCCTCCCACCCCACTGTCCTGGTAATAGCTTATCTAAAGTGATCATCAGGTGGGCCATTCCACAAAACTCTTTTCCCCCCCCCCCCCCCCCCCCCCCCCTCCCCCCGGTGCACCCTCATCCAAGGTGGGCAACCCTTTACATAATCAAGTCGGGCTATTTCCTGCACAAATCCAGGTTTTCTCACATCCCCCCCACCCCCATACACACACAAACTCACTCTCCTGCTGGTAATAGCTCATCTAAACTGACCACGGGAAACAGCAAATCAAGCAAGAGTCACTTCCAAGCCCCGAGCTGCTAACTGGCTCCCCCCTCACTGAAGCCAGGCTCCCGGCCCCGGCCCAGGCTCTGCAGCTGCCACCTGTCATCACATGGGTCTGCAAGGGGGCGTTATGGCCGCTGGATTCCTCCTGGCATATCGCCAGGTGTTCCCATGGGTGAGTGCCCACCCGTCTGTGCCACACAGACCATTAGCTACGTTGTGGAGGCCTTGGCTGGGACCAGCTTGCGGGGGGCCCTGCAGGTCAGCTCCTGAGCCCAGGGGGAGGAGGCCATCAGCACCCTGAGCTGAGTGAGGACGGGGGCCCCTGGATTATCTGCCTCGGCTCCAACCCCCATGGGTTGTACGCTGTACTGCTGAGCCCACCGGAAACAGGTGAGAGCCCCTCCCCCCTAGGGGCACAGGCTCTGACCTGGCCCAAGGGTGGGGACTGGCTGGCTCAGGGGGTGGGGAATGGGGCATGGGGCCTTTCCCCTCTAGGGGGAGCAGCTCCAACCCAGCCCCAGGGCAGGGGCTAGCTGGCTCGGGCAGGGGTTGCAGGGATCTATCCCAGGTTCTCAGAGTTTTCCTGCTCCCACAGGTGGCCTCACTCGGGCATTTATCGAAATCAGCAGCAAACTTGTCTATTACCTGACCCTGCTCTATTACAGACGGTAACTCAGCTACCGACCCACCTACCAACCCGCTTAGCTGCCTACTAACCTACTTAACATCCTACTCACCCATCCACCTACCGACGTACCTCCCTACCAACCTACTCATCCACCCACCTATATACCCACCAGCCTATCTACCTATTAGCTACTTTTCTACTTATCAACCTATCTACTTAACAAACTACCTACCTACCTATCTGCCTAGCCAGCTGGCTGGCCTTTCATCCATCCTCTCTCTCTCTCTCTTAGGATACCCAGCTGCTGTTGTGGAAGCAGAAGGAAGGACAGACCTGGTGCCAGGAAATCTGTGGTTACCAACTCAGGCATATAGATGGGGCTGTTCCTCTGCTGCCGGAAAAGCTGAGCTAAAAACCGACTCTCACTGGAAAGGGGAAATGAGAAATGAGACTTCACCTGGGGGACGGCCACCCTGCCTCAGACTCATCTAGCCCAGTATCCAGCCCCCTCCCTGCTGACCCAGATCTGTCCCATAAGCCTGGAAGCACATGGAAGCTGCTTGTAATATTTTTATGACTATTATATATTGTCTGTTTTCCCAATAGTTATTATGCTGTTTTTCCTATGTCTATGATGGCTGATAGGAGCTCAGATACTCCAGTGATGAACGTGGTAAAAGGACACAGAGAGAATTGAACGGGATAGAATAGAATACCCATATTTACTGATCCTCACAAGAGAATGCAGAAACCAACGACTGTGAAGATTGTTCCCAACTAGAAACTTTGTTCTGGTGAAAAATGCAGATTCAGTCACACCAAAACTTTTGTGAATTTTTGTGTTGATTTTGTTGAATTTTTCCTGTTGGGGCGGCGGGGGGGGGGAACCTCCCCAAATTCTGAACAGAATCAAAATGTTCCATTTCGACATTTGCCAAAAGAGAAGTTTAGATGTTTCTGTGCGAATCCTGGTTTTGTTTAGAAATGTGGTTTAATTTTTCTTAAAGGCATGAAAAAAATATTTTGCAAAGTGCTCAAAATTGAAATGGAATATTTCTTTCGAGCCAGAATTTTCCCCCCAACTTTTTGGGGTCCACAAATTTCAAAACCAAGTTTTTTTGGCTCAGTCTGAAATGAAAAGTAATAAAACCTTTGGTTTTGGTTTGACCCAAAATGACCCCCCCCAGATTTTCAGTATGCTGAAAAATTCAACAAATTTTAGTTTTTGTTTCAGTTGAACCAATTTTTTGTTTGTTGACTTTACGGTTTGTGGAAAATTTTGAAAAAATCCTTTTTCTTTCAGATCAAAATTAATTTATTTTTTAAATTTGGTTTGCCAAAAATGTAGAAAGTTTTTGGTTTTGGTTTGACCCAAAATGAATGATTTCCCCCTGACTTTTTTGGGATTCCCAGTGAACTAAAATTTTTGCTCTTCTTCCGTCTGTATCCTGGCCCTCTGCAGAGCCGGCCAAAGCGGTCAGACCAGGCTGAAAGGGAAGAGAGGACGATGAAGGATGTGGTTGATTCATAAATGGGATAGTCAGAGAGACAGAGTCTGCTGGGGCACAGACAGAGCCCCCAGTCCCAGTGGGACGTGGGGGTAATCTGGGATAAGATGGGCCAACTGAACTGTAGCTCAGAGAGCAATAGCTGTATCTCTTTCCTTGTTGTGCTGACTCCTGCAGTTCAGATTAAACGACACTTCGTTTGGAAAAGGCGGCTGCTTCCTGTCCCCGGGTCCACACCCTGGTGTTGGCTCCCCAGGGGAAAGCGGGTGGGTCTTGAAACCCGTCGGAGCTGGCTGAGCAATCACGGCTGGTGTCCACAGGCTGCAGCTGGCACCCGCTCTGAGAGGGAGAAATGGGGCGATTCCAGCCCCAGCAGGTGCAGGCTGGAGAATTAAAGGCTGGAAGGGAGCACTTGGATAGAGCTGCTGAAGGGGGCAGGGGTGCAGCCAGCCCTGGGCTGTGACAGGGCCCATCTAGCCTGGTATCCCGCCCCCTAACTGGCGCCCCAGAGCAGCCCCTTGGGACAATCTAGCCCGTTACCCCACCGTCTCCCTGCTGCTCCAGATTAGCCCTATGGGCCCATCTAGCCTGCATCCCGCTGTGACAACTTTCTAATCACACAAAACCAAACCCCCTTGCCCTGCCCCCTGTCCTGCCCCTTCCCTGAGGCATGCCCCGCCCCTTCTTTGAGGCCCTGCCTCCCACTCACTCCCATCCCCCTTCCCTCCGTTGCTTGCTCTCCCTGACCCTCGCTCACTTCCACTGGGCTGGGGCAGGAGGTTGGGGTGCGGAAGGGGCTGAGGGTGTGAGCTCTGGGGTGGGGCTGGGGATGCGTTTGGGATGCAGGAGGGGACTAGGAATGTAAATGCGGTTAAAAAAGTTAACTGGTTAAACTTTTAAAATTATATCGTTTAACCGGTTAACCATTACCTGAGGTCCGTCAGGCGGGCTGGTGCGGGGCAGCTGGGGCTGGGGTCCTGCCGTCTTGGCATGGCTGGAGCTGGCCGTCTCCAGCCTGCCTGGCCCACCTGCCGGGGCTGGGGTCCCGCCGGCCCAGCTGAGGATGAGGTCCCTCTGGTCCGCCAGCCTGACATGGCTCCAGCCGGCTGGCCCAGTGTGGCCAGCTGGCTGCCGGGGAAAACGGTTAAAGTCTGGTTAATGGTAAACCTAATACTTAAAGGAGGGATTTAGGGTGTGGGAGGGTATTCTGACCTGGGGCAGGGGGTTGGGGTGCAAGTGGGGGAGTGCGGGGTCTGGGATGGAGTTAGGGTGCAGGACAGGGTTCTGACCTGGGGCAGGGGGTTTGGGGTGCCGGTGGGGGGTGTGGGGTCTGGGAGGGAGTTAGGGTGCAGGCAGGGGTTCTGACCTGGGGCAGGGGGTGCAGGGTCTGGGAGTGAGGGTGGGGGAGGGGATTCTGACTTGGGGCAGGGGGGTTGGGGTGCAGGTGGGGGAGCAGGTGGGGGACCTAGGGCAGGGGGTTCGGGGTGCGGGTTTGGGGGGTGCGGGGTCTGGGAGTCAGGGTGGGGGAGGGGATTAGGACCTAGGGCAGGGGGTTCGGGGTGCGGGTTTGGGGGCGTGGGGTCTGGGAGTCAGGGTGGGGGAGGGGATTAGGACCTAGGGCAGGGGGTTCGGGGTGCGGGTTTGGGGGCGCGGGGTCTGGGAGTCAGGGTGGGGGAGGGGATTAGGACCTAGGGCAGGGGGTTCGGGGTGCGGGTTTGGGGGCGCGGGGTCTGGGAGTCAGGGTGGGGGAGGGGATTAGGACCTAGGGAGGGGGTTCGGGGTGGGGTTTGGGGGCGGGGGTCTGGGAGTCAGGGTGGGGGAGGGGATTAGGACCTAGGGCAGGGGGTTCGGGGTGCGGGTTTGGGGGGGGGGTCTGGGAGTCAGGGTGGGGGAGGGGATTAGGACCTAGGGCAGGGGGTTCGGGGTGGGGTTTGGGGGGGGGTTGGGAGTAGGGTGGGGAGGGGATTAGGACCTAGGGAGGGGGTTCAGGGTGGGGTTGGGGGGGGGGTTGGGAGTAGGGTGGGGGAGGGGATTAGGACCTAGGGCAGGGGGTTCGGGGTGCGGGTTTGGGGGCGGGGGTCTGGGAGTCAGGGTGGGGGGAGGGGATTAGGACCTAGGGCAGGGGGTTCGGGGTGGGGTTTGGGGGTGTGGGGTCTGGGAGTCAGGGTGGGGGAGGGGATTAGGACCTAGGGCAGGGGGTTCGGGGTGCGGGTTTGGGGGCGCGGGGTCTGGGAGTCAGGGTGGGGGAGGGGATTAGGACCTAGGGCAGGGGGTTCGGGGTGCGGGTTTGGGGGCGCGGGGTCTGGGAGTCAGGGTGGGGGAGGGGATTAGGACCTAGGGCAGGGGGTTCGGGGTGCGGGTTTGGGGGCGCGGGGTCTGGGAGTCAGGGTGGGGGAGGGGATTAGGACCTAGGGCAGGGGGTTCGGGGTGCAGGCTCTGGCCGGGCGGCACTTACCTCAGGCGGCTCCCGGGGCTGAGGCAGGCTCCCTACCCGGCTCTCGGAAGCCACCGGCTTGTCCGGCCCCAGGCGCCGGGGCGGCCAGGGAGTCTCCGTATGCTGCCCCCGCCAGAGCACCAGCTCCCCACGGTGGGCGTTATGACATCACCACTGCTGCCGTGACATCACGGGGGGCGTTATGACATCACCGCTGCTGCCGTGACATCACGGGGGCGTTATGACATCAGCACTGGCACCATGACCTCATAGTTTCTGCGTGACCCCGTCGCGGGCATGAGACATTATATGAGAGGCCGTTGTGCGGTGACATCACGGTGTCTTATGACATCATCAGAAGCTGTGTGACATTGTGGGTCGGGTCTTATGACGGGGCAGGTGGATGACCTCATCACTGGGCTAGCACTGTGAGTGCCGTTGCCATGGGGACGGAGCCACGTTGGCCAACGTCACGGTTGCTCGGGGCAACGCGGATGCGCTCCGCCCTCAGGGTCCCGCCCGCACCACCAAATTTAGTTGCCCCACACCCCATTCACCGCGAAGGGTCACTGCGGGGCGGGATTTGATGCATGTCACTCGAGGAAAGCAACAAATAGGCTGGGAGATTTGGCGAGAGGACTGGAGGTCGTAGCCAATAGTCTGAGAGAGGAGGCGGGCTTAAGAGATTGTATCCAATCGGCTTAAGAAGAAGGCTGGACGGACAGTGACACAGTATCCAATGGGATGGGAGAGAAGGCGGCTCTGGGCATTATTCAGCGAGTTGGATATTAATGAAGGTGGGATCATGTCGGGGAATTAGCCAATGGGGTTATGGAGGAGACGGGGATAGCGCACCGAGAACCAATGGGTGTAGAAAATGGGCGGGATGAAGGTGTGGCATTAGCCAATAATAATTCAGATGATTGGTTAAACTCTCAGCCAATGGGATTTCAGTCCAGTTTCGGGTGCCAGCCAATGGCGTGACAGAAAGGGCGAGGCTGGTGCTGAATCAGCCAATGAACTGCGACAGTAGGCGGGACTACAGTCGCCGCCAGCCAATGAGCGCGGAGCCGCCCCTGCAAGGCGGCCGAGGCCACCCCGTGTTTTCCTTAGTGCCGGAGCCGGGAGCTAAGATGGCGGCCGCCGACGGAGATGACTCGCTCTACCCTATCGCGGTGCTGATCGACGAGCTGCGCAACGAGGACGTCCAGGTGCCGGCCGGGGCTGGGGGAGGCCGAGCCGCGGCCGGGGGAGGCGGCCGGGCAGGGCTGCGGGGAACCGCACGGCGAGCGGAGACCGGGGTCCGGCGTCCAATCGCAGGCCGCCTCTCATCCCTAAAGCCGCGCTGCGGGCGTGAGAGGAGACGCCTGATTGGATGGGCGCGCCGCCTTGGGCTGAATGGGAGTCTGGGGGCCAATGAGTGTGTGTGGGGGGGAGTCTGATCCCCCCCCCCCCGACCCTGTGGGTCAGATGAGAGACGGCCGCTGATTGGCTGAGCGTCTCCCCCATTCATTCCAGTGGGGCCTCTCTTGCCCTGCGTGGAGGCTCGTCTCGTTCGCCCTGGGGTCAGTGAGCCCTGGGCCCTGATTGGCTACGGGGTGCCTGTAGAGCCAATCGTGGGGCTCGGCTCACGTGACCTGGGGGTGCCTGACTGGCTGCTTCCCAGGCGTATGCCCCGTAGCCAATCACAGGCCGTGGCTGAGGGTAGGGCGGATGGCAGGAGGCTGCTGACTGGCCAGACTGGGGGGGGCATGGTATCCTGGGGAGTCAGCAAGCCAGTCACAGAGGCTCTTAACAGAGTCTCCTGCGGGCGATACCCTGGTCTTGCCCTGAGCCCAGCTCCCTGTGGGCCTGGCCAAAGGCGGCTCCCCGGGGTTCTCTTGGGTGGGGGGTGAGGCCTGTGAGCGCCAGTCCTTGGGCGCGCTCCCTCTCTGATTGGCTGGGGGAAGTCTCCGTGGTGGGGAGCGGGGTCCGTGGGAGCCTCTCCCTGCCACTGGCCTGGGGTATATCTGCAAGTGACCTCTGGCCGCCCATCCTGGGCGTCCCCTAGGAGATGGTGAGGGTGGCTGGCTGTGGCACGTCCCAGGAGAGCGGGGCTTACCGCAGCCAATCCTAGGGCTTCCTTGACCCGAGTGCCTTGCGGTTGGTCCTTGCTAGACTCTTCCATGACCAATGCTGGCCAAAGCTTGTAAAAACCAATCTCCGGGCTCCCCTCAATGAGCTGCGGCATGCAGGAGGTGGCTGGGAAAGGTGGTGGTGTGGTGGGGGCATGCCCCCCAGGGGACCAATACTGGGATTAGCCTGGGAAGCAGCTGTGTGCTTGGTTGGAAAAGTTCCTGCCATATAACCATGGTATATACGGAGAAAGAGCACAATTCTCTGATCTCTTCCTTTTGTGGGAAGAGGGGGCTTGGGCTTGGTTCAAGGGGTGCCCAGGTAGCTTATGAACCCAGGCTAAGGATGAAGATGGTGGGGGATGGAGAATATGGGAGCTGAGGTGAGGGGATTGCCTATGGGGTGAGAAGGGCTGGGGGGGGCGGTAATTAGATCAACATATGGCATCTTAGGACCGCCAGGGCGGGCAAACTTTTTGGCCCAAGGGCCACATCTTGGTATGGAAATTGTATGGTGGGCCATGAATGCTCATGAAATTGGGGGTTGGGGTGTAGGAGGGGGTGAGGGCTCCGGCTGGCAGTGTGGGCTCTGGGGTTGGGCCAGAAACAAGGAGTTCAGGGTGTGGGAGGGAGCTCTGGACTGGGGCAGGAGGTTGGGGAGCCAGGGGGCTTGGGTGAGGGCTCTGGCTGGGGATAAGGGGATGGGGGTGCAGAAGGGTGTTCCAGGCTGGGACCAAGGGGTTCGGAGGACGGGAGTGGGATCAGGGCTGGGGCAAAGGGTTGGGACATGGGAGAGGATCAGGGGTGCAGGCTCCTGGCGGCGCTTACCTCAAGCAGTTCCCAGAAGCTCTTATGTGGAAGCATGGCCAGGCAGCTCTGCAAACTGTCCTGTTCGCAGGCACTGCTTCTTCAGCTCCCATTGGCCGTGGTTCCCGGCCAATGGGAGCTGCGGAGATGGTGTTTGGGGCAGGGGCAGCATGTGGAGCCCATGGCTGCCCCTATGTGTAGGAGCCAGAGGGGGGACATGCTGCTACTTCCAGGAACTGTGCAGAGTGGGGCAAGCCCTGGACCCCACTTCCTGGTGGGAGCTTGAGGACCAAATTAAAATGTCTAGAGGGCTGAATGCTGCTCCCGGGCCATAGTTTGCCCACCCCTGCTCTAAGCACAAACCTGTGGGGACATACTAGGGGGTGGGGAGTGTGTTTTATGACAGGGCCTTTTCTACCTGGCTATCTATAGGGTGTGGCTCCCAGGGTGGGTATATCAGGAAGAGTAGGATTGCCCAGACAGGATGCCCCAGTGGTGACACAGCGGAAGGGGTGTGGGAGTAGACCTTGCGAGGGGGAGGGACTCTGGGCTGCATGTGGGGGGAAGTGTGGTCTAGGGGTTAGAGCAGAGGGAGGCCCGAGAGACAGGATTTCTGGGTTCTCTCCCTGGCTCTGGAAGGGGAGCGGGGTCTAGTACATTAGAGGGATTGCCTGGATTAGTTAGAAGGGTGTTAAACTATTAATGAAAGGGGAGGATAAAAAGAGGGATGATACAAGCCCTGAGCACAGAATTGAGATGTTGGGAACAAAATTAATCAGGAACGGAAGGGCGTGAAGAGAAGAAATTCTTGACTTACTTTTACTCCAATGCTAGGCACCTGGGTTACAAACCAAAGGAATTGGAATTACTCGTTTATGAGCATAAGCACAATCAAGGTGGTATTACTGTATCCTGGCAGGATGATTTGCACAACTGGAATGTTAATATCAATGGTCATAAACCAGTGGTTTTCAGCCTGTGGTCCACAGATCCCTGAGGGTCCGCAGACTGTGTTAAGGGGTCTGCGAAAGGTTGTTGTTACCATAGAACAATGGTTTTCAACCTGTGGCCTGTGGTTCCCTGGGGGCCTGCAGACTGTCTTAAGATTTCCAAAGGAGTCCGTACCTCCATTTGAAATTTTTTAGGGGTCCACAAATGAAAAAAGATTGAAACCCCCTGTTATAAACTATTTAGGAAGGATCGAGTGGGCAGGATGGGAGGGGCACTGTCAAAATGGCATCACCTGTTTCTGAGTCACTGGTAACTCCGAAGAAGAAGATCTTGACTGCTTATGGATAAATATCCTAACAGAGGAAGCACAAGATGCTGTGTTAGTTGGGGTTTACTAGAGACCACACTGAGGAACAGGAGGACAGATCTATAATGTGAAGGGGGAAAAAGTGTGAGATCCTGAGAGGCTTCTGTTTGACTATGCTGGAGCTCTCAGGCTACCAGTACTAAAACATCCTTGGAATTTGTAAGTGTTAAAGGACAATTTCCTAACTCAAAAAGGGTTGCATCCAACGCGGGGGAATTCGATATTAGCCCTTGTCTTATCAGTAAAGGGGAGCTGATCACAGACCTAAAAACTAATGGTAACTCAGGTGCGAGTGATTATGACTTGATCACATTTATAATGTACAAACAGAATGAAGTCCAGATCAGTGAGAGAGAGATTTTATTTGGTGCTTTAAAAGGGCCAGTTTCACAAAGCCAAAAACAACTGAGCCAAATCAACTGGGAGGAAGAATTTAATTAGGAAATGTGACTGATAATGGAGCATTGTTTATGATGGATACCTGAGAAGCCCCAATCAAGGGAGAAAGCCATGTTGGCTTAAAAAAAAAAATGATGTGGTTTAGAAGGAAAGTGAAGGCAGCTACAAAAAATGAAAAAAAATATAGCAGCAGAAGAAAGGGGAACGGTAGAAAATTGATAAGGGAAGCAAAGGGACACAAGAAAAAATGTGTGTTTAGAAGTATCATCGTTGCCCTTTGATGGTCTCTTGCATGTCATGAGTTGGTGGGTTCTCAGTGCTTTTCCCAGCAGGGCAGAGACCAATAGCAAAAGTTGCCCTCAGGAGGGAGGTCTGAGGTTGCTGCCGTCAGAGGTCAAGAGCTGAAATGAATTCCTGTCCCAGCAGCGATGCTCACGTAGCTATAGGGTGGATAGAGTGATGTTTTTTCATTTAAATCAGGTTTTGATTTTGTTTAAATTAGAATATTTTTTTTCAAATAAACTTACTTAAAATGGAATCTGAGTTTTATATGTTTAATATGTTCAGGCCTGAACTTAGGAGTCTCTTAAAACTTTTAAATAAAAAACAAACGCTGAATCTGTGAGTCTGTTGCAAACTTTGGCTGAAAGGCTGCTTTTCTATATAAAGAAAGAATCGGGGGAAAAACATCTAACTTTTGAGGTTAAGCTCTGTAAATATGCCTCAGTAGGTCATCTACTGTGTTAAGGACTTGCTCCTGTGGGGGACCGAGGACTTGCACTTCTGTGTGAGAGATTATTTAATACAAATAAATTGTACATGCTGTTTTGTGTGTAATTAAATTCCAGTCGCCGTCCTAATGCAGCTCCACATAAATCACGAGGAAGAAGTGAATTAGCTTCTGAACGAGCCACAGATCAGTCACATTTTCTAACATATTACAAATGTCATTAATAAGTATCTGAAAATACTGTGGTCTAGAATTGCTTAAATCAATGTATATAGTTAAAAGAAAAGGAGGACTTGTGGCACCTTTGAGACTAACCAATTTATTTGAGTTTATTTATGCTCAAATAAATTGGTTAGTCTCAAAGGTGCCACAAGTCCTCCTTTTCTTTTTGCGAATACAGACTAACACGGCTGCTACTCTGAAACCTGTATATAGTTAGTGTCCCCTCCTAAGCAGCAAAAAGATGTACCAAGTCTACGCTGAAGGCTCCATTTAGCTGTAATGGACATGTTTTAATGCTCCCATCAACCAGGGAGAATGTGCCTTTCTTTAAAACATCACTGTAGCCCAAATGGAAAAGTTGATTAAACTTGGTGACTGAAATCAAGGCTTCCCACCTGGCGATTTAAATCACAATTTAAAGCGGGGCAATTGAAATCACCCAGTGGAAAGCCTCCATTGCAAATTGCCTTGCTTTAAATTGCCAAGTGGGAAGCCTCGATTTCAGTGACGATTCAGATCGCTGGGGTCTGACCTAGGTTTTCATCCAGCATGTCCCCTCCCCCGGTTGCCTGGTTCTCACCCACTCTCCCCTCTCCACACAGCTACGTCTCAACAGCATCAAGAAACTCTCCACCATTGCCTTGGCCCTCGGTGTGGAGAGGACCCGCAGCGAGCTCCTGCCTTTCCTCACAGGTAACCAGAGGGCTCCAAACTGGCCTCCAGGACTCCTGAGTTCTCTCCCCTTGTCTGGGAGGGCAGTCGGGCTAGAGGGTTAGAGTGGGGGGCCCTGGGAGTCAGGACTCCTTGGTTCCACCCCCACTTTGATCTTGGGTAAACTACCTCCGATCTCTGTGCTCTTAAATGGTGGATAGCAACAGCCAGCACTGGTGGCGGAGGGCAGGGCTGTTGGTGTGTGTGGGGGCAGGGGCTTTGCAGGACTGGACTGGGGGCTGTAGGCTTTCCACCCCCCTTCAGGGCAGGAGAGTGCTCTGGAATGCTACTGATGAAACCGTGTCCAAGTGAGTCGGGGAGAGAGTGCCCTGTGTTCAGTCAGCTAGCGGCTCTTGATTCCCCTCTGAACTCACATGTCTGGTCTTTCCAAGGCATCAGCCGCCTCTTCCTCTCCCTGCTCACCCGCCACTTCTCTTGCAGACACGATTTACGATGAGGACGAGGTGCTGCTGGCTCTGGCTGAACAGCTGGGGACCTTCACCGCTCTGGTCGGGGGACCTGAATATGTGCACTGCTTACTGGTAGGTCAGACCCCTGCCATCTAGGGCATGGAGCCGCCTCATATGGGCACTGGGGGGGGTCAGGACACCTGGGTTCTATCCCCAGCTCTGGGAGGGCAATGGGGTCTAGTGGGCTAGAGAGAGGGGATTGGGAGTCGGGACGCCTGGGTGTTCTCCCCAGCTGTGAGTGGGGTGTTGTGGATGGGGGGGTGGGGGGCTGTACTCCTGGGTTCTCTCCACACCCCAAGCAGGGGTGGAATCAATCCAGCCCCCATCTCACTACCCCTCGCAGCCCCCCCTGGAGAGTCTGGCGACAGTGGAGGAGACAGTGGTGCGAGACAAGGCGGTGGAGTCGCTGCGTGCTATCTCCCACGAGCACTCTCCCTCGGACCTGGAGGGACACTTCGTGCCCCTGGTGAAGCGCCTGGCAGGGGGCGACTGGTTCACCTCCCGCACCTCGGCCTGTGGCCTCTTCAGCGTCTGCTATCCTCGCGTGTCCAGCTCGGTCAAGGCAGAGCTCCGGCAGTGAGTGAAGCCCCTATGGGGCCGATTGCGCAGCTGGGGGAAGACCCTCGCAGGGCTGAATGTGGGGCTGGGTGAGAGCCCCTGGGTCAGTGGGAGCCCCCGTGGGGCTGATCATGCAGCTGGAAGGGACCCTGGGTCAGTGGGACAAGTCCCTGTTATATCTCATAATCCCCTTCATAAATGGGATCAGTCTCCATCTCTCTCTCTCTCACTCACACACTCACTCACTCTCCCCCCTTCCACTCCGATTGGAGGCAGTTGAGGTTCACCCTCCTTTGCCTTGTCTGATCCGGGGTGGAATACCAGGCTAGATGAACCCAGAGGGCTGAATCGGGGCGACAAGGAGGAGCTGTTACACGCGTCTCACTCCCCCATCCCCGGCAGGTACTTCCGGAACCTATGCTCCGATGACACCCCCATGGTGAGGCGGGCGGCGGCTTCCAAGCTGGGCGAGTTCGCAAAGGTCCTGGAGCTGGAGCATGTGAAGGGCGAGATTATTCCCATGTTCTCCAACCTGGCCTCCGACGAGCAGGTGAGAGCCGCGCAGGGGAGGGGGCTGGGAGCCAGGACTCCTGGGTTCTCTCCCTGGCTCTGGGAGGGGAGTGGGATCTGGCGTTAACCCATTCCTGCCTCTCTCCCACAGGACTCTGTGCGCTTGCTGGCTGTGGAGGCTTGTGTCAATATCGCTCAGCTCCTGCCCCAGGAGGACCTGGAGTCCTTGGTGATGCCCACGCTACGGCAAGCGGCAGAGGACAAATCATGGCGGGTCCGGTACATGGTGGCTGATAAGTTCACAGAGGTGCGTGCTGCTTCCCTCCTCGCTCCAGTGATCTGTGGTGACCTAATGCTGCATGGACTAGCAGGGGGCTGTGGGTTGGGAGTGAGGGGCACTGGCAGAGCTTTGGGGGTGTGGGGGAGCCCAGGGCAGGGATCGCAGGGCACTGCCGATGGGGATTGAGATCTGTGCATAGTGTTGATGCTTGTCAGTTTCCCCTGTGCTGAAATTGGTGGGCTGTTGATCTGGTGACTCTCCATCTGTCTGGGGCCTGGATCCCTGGAGCGCTCTGACCTATGGACCCCCTGCTGACCCACTGCCCTCCCCCCACAGCTCCAGAAAGCCGTTGGGCCTGAAATCACCAAGACCGACCTGGTGCCGGCTTTCCAGAACCTTATGAAGGACTGCGAGGCCGAGGTGCGGGCTGCTGCCTCCCACAAGGTCAAAGGTCAGCCTTGGTGCCCCCTCTGTCCATGTGAGAGGTTGGGATCACCCTCTGGAAGGACCAGAACAATCTCTACAGCCCGAGGGGATTGTTGGGGGGAGGAATCTTTGGGTGGGAGGCTGGATGGGGGTTGTGGGTGAGGCTGAGTGTGTGGGATATAGTCTCCCCCCAGGGACTGGCTGGGAACCCCATGGCCAAAGCCCTGGGTAATTGGCTGGAGCTGGGATGGTCATGCTGGTCTTATGAACTGGATAGACAGGAGGGGGTGATCCTGCCCTTCTGGGTGGGGCGGTGTTGATCTCAGCTGATCCTGGCCCCTTGGCCAGAGTCTTAAGGGGAGGGGAATGGATGGTGGGTATGATCCTGGCTCTTTTCCCTGTTGGGGGGGAGATTTGAGAGGGAACAAATAGACTTGGGGAGAGAGAAAATGGGGTGTGTGTGTGTGTGTGGGGGGGTCAGGTTGCTTGCTGCATGTCTGAACTCTGGTCCCCTGTGCTGGGCTCCTGAAGCAGCTGGCCCCACCCCCCATGGGAGCTGCTCCACCCCTTGTTAACCCCTCACCCCATTCACCATTTGCCCTCCCCAGAGTTCTGTGAGAACCTGTCAGCTGACTGCCGCGAGAACGTCATCATGACCCAGATACTGCCCTGCATCAAGGTAAGGGGCGGGGCTCAGCCGATCCCCTTGCTGCTGGCATCCCCCCCCTGCAGGGGGAGGGTGGATGGGTAGCAGGGGAACGTAGGGGGAAGCATGGTGTGAGGGGAGGAGGGTGTGAGAATGGGGGGCACAGGATGCGGTAGAAGGGCAGGGGAGCATGGGGGGAGGGATGTAGAAGGGGGTAGGAGCATAAGGGGATGTGGGGGTCGGGGTGCCACCAAGGACAGGAGTGTGAAGGGGTAGTGGTGGAGTAGGGGGCTTTGGGGGTGGAGGAGGCATGGGAGGTTTAAGGGGGGTACTTGGGGTTGTGGGGGGGCAGCCCCAGCAGCTCAGTGCCATGAGGCTGGCGGCGGCCTGTCTGCATTAACCCTCCCTTCTCCCCCCGAGCAGGAGCTGGTGTCGGACGCCAATCAGCACGTCAAGTCAGCGCTGGCCTCCGTCATCATGGGGCTCTCACCCATCCTGGGCAAGGACAACACCATCGAGCACCTGCTGCCGCTCTTCCTGGCCCAGCTCAAGGATGAGGTGAGCGCCCCGCCCCAGAGGTGGCTGCATCTCGGGGCTGCTGTGCTGTGCTCCTGTCTCACTGGTAGTCATTTTTCCCTTTGGGAAGAGATCTCAGTGGGATTTAGTGGTTAGAGCAAGGGGAGCTGGGAGCCAGGACTCCTGGGTTGAATTTCTGGCTCTGGGAGGGGAGTGGGGCCTATTTGTGTGTGTGTGGAGGGGAGAGAGCCCAGGACTCCTGGGTTCTGGCTCTGGGGCGGGGGGAGGGATAGCTCAGTGGTTTGAGCATTGGACTGCTAAACCCAGGGTTGTGAGTTCAATCCTTGAGGGGGCCATTTAGGGATCTGGGGCAAAAATTGGGGATTGGTACTGCTTTGAGCAGGGGATTGGGCTAGGTGACCTCCTTAGGTCCCTTCCAACCTTAATAGTCTGAGTCTGAGAGCCCAGGACTCCTGGGTTCTGGCCCTGGGAGGGGAGTGGGTCCTAGTGGTTACAGCATGGGGGAGCTGGGAGCCAGGACTCCTGGCTCCCATCTTGTGTGGAAAGCCTTTGCTCTGAGCTCTGTTCCTCCCTCCAGTGCCCTGAGGTTCGGCTCAACATCATCTCGAACCTGGATTGTGTCAATGAGGTGATCGGCATCCGGCAGCTCTCGCAGTCGCTGCTGCCGGCCATCGTGGAGCTGGCCGAGGATGCCAAATGGCGTGTCAGGCTGGCCATCATTGAGTACATGCCCCTGCTGGCCGGGCAGCTGGTAAGGAGGCTGTGGGGAGCATGGGGGCTTTGGGATGAAAGGCCTGGAAGGGTCAGGCCCGGCTGGTGGTGTCCTGTCTCTTGCTAAACAGGGAAATGCTTGGTCAGGATATGGATGAGAGGGTCCAAGCTTCCCGCTTGGTCAGGGCTGGCCCCGGTGCCCCAGCGTAGCGCCTGGGTGCCTCGTGCAGCACGGTGCCGGGTGGGGGCTCTCCCCTGAAGTCAGGGCTGGCTCCAGTGCCCTAGGGGGCGCAAGACATCAGTCCTGGGGTTGCTGGGAGCCAGGACTCCTGGGTTCTCTCCACCAGCAGCACCTCATCTATGAAATCAGAACAGTGCCTGTTTTCCAGGGGCCCCGTCTCTCCCACAAGGTCCTGGGTCTGGCCTGGAGTTCTGGGACTAACAGTCTCTTCCTTTCCAGGGGGTGGAGTTCTTTGACGAGAAGCTGAATTCCCTGTGCATGGCTTGGCTGGTGGATCATGGTGAGTGTCGCTCAGGGGAGCCGGCCCTCAGGGCTGCCCCATGGCCAGTGCTGGCTCCAGGGCCCTTGGTTTGAGTGGGAACTTAACCGCTGCGGGGTGGAGCCCCACGACTCGGACCGAGCTATGGTGCATCATGGGAGATGACCTCTAAGGTCATAGGAGGTGAAGGCTGGTCTTGAGGTTTATGCAGAGGGCTGGGTGCCAGGACTCCTGGGCTCTGTTCCTGGCTGTGCCACACACTGGGTGTAACCTCCAGCAGGTCGTGGATGTGCTTAGAAATCGGGGCTCTGACTCCTTCCTTTGTTCGTGTAGACTGCGCTCTTCGGGGCCAGAGCTGTCTCTGGCTGTGTCTGAGCAGCGCCTGCATCCTACTCTAATACAAACAAATTAACCTTCACTGATTGAGTAATTGCCCTTTGATCTATTGACTTATAAGGGCTCCCAGATCCTCTGCTTGGGCTTTTATAGCCCCATTCACTTGGTCCTAGCTGTCACAGCCATGTGACACTGACAAGATCTAGGTCACTTTCCCCCCCGGAAATCCAATTAACAAGAGTCTGGTCAGTTTCAGGACAGCTTTGCAGTTGACTAGGCTCTTCAGCTGTGTGTCTCAGCTCAATGCTATGGGGTGAGCAAGACCTACTCAGTTTCACTTGGCCACTGCTCTGGAAGGGGATGAGGGGCCTCCACAGTGGGAAACCACTCCTGAAAGGGGTTATGTGGGGGGAGGTGAGAATTCCCCTCAGCTGCAGGGCAGGGGGTGGGAAAGAGGGCTGGAGATGTAGCATCCTAGGACTTTGCCTCTTGTACCCTACACTTCCCCCCCTCCAGTGGTGGTTTCCAGTCCTGGCTGGGGTCTTCTCCCAACTCCATCTCTGGGGAGTTGGTGGCTCAGGTCTCCACCTGTCACTTCACTCTGCTTCTGGGATAGCAAAAGGTCCTGCTTAAAGCCCAACACAAGTGCCCAGATTAATAGTTCAGCCCCTCTCGGGCTCTGCTGAAATCCTCTGCTGCATTACCTGGCCCAGCGTGTCTTGCCCTGCGTCTTCCACAGTAGCGTTCGCCCGCTGCTGCCCTTCGCCAGCGACTCCTGCAGTTCATCTCTTCCTGGTCCGGGTGGGCCTTGTCTCAGGGCTTCTCCCCCTCCCTCCCGCCCCCCGAGCCTGCTCCGCTTCCTGGGGGTGGCTCAGCCTCGCTTCCTCAGGCTCTTCTCAGAGGGGAACCACCTTGTCCCCACCAGATAAATTCATGTGAGAAGTAAGGCCCAGATCCAGAGTGGAGGCCTCTCTGGAAGATGCTCTTCGCCAAACACAAGTCGTGCGGCTCAACCCAGGGGGAGCTGGGGGAAGTGGAGTGGTCTGTGCTATGTGCAGATGACACCGGATGACCTAATTGGGCCCTTCTGGACTTCGATCATGCAAAAATCCCAGCTCTTGTTTAAAATGAACGGCCAATTCTTAGCCCTCTTGGCCGTGGGAAACCCTGAGCCCTGGGGCTGGTGGGGCTTTCTCATAGTGTCTGATGGGGATAATTATGGACAATCGGCAGCTCTTGCACAGCAGGGAAAGCTGAAGCGGAAGGTGCCTGTGTTTTAAATGAGAATTCCCAAAACAACAAGAGAACCTCGACACGTACTGTGTTTTCCTCCCAATGTTTTGCGGGGCTGCTGACAAGCACTACTGAAAACGGGGACTAAACGGGGCACCTGGTGAATGTGGGCTGGTGCCGGCTGGGTGAATTGTAACCCCTGAAGACTCAAAATCCAGAGGGTGACTCCTCCTAGCCCAGGTCTCCAGGTGGAGGGATCGGGGTTAGCGTGCCGGTGTTGCTAGCCAGCTGCCAGGATTGGCGCAGAGCCCCAGCCCCCCCCGGTGACGTGTTTTCCCCTCCCTTCCCAGTTTATGCCATCCGGGAGGCAGCCACCAGCAACCTGAAGAAACTGGTGGAAAAGTTCGGCAAAGACTGGGCCCATGCCACCATCATCCCCAAAGTGCTGGCCATGTCTAACGACCCCAACTACCTTCACCGCATGACCACGCTCTTCTGCATCAATGTGAGTGCCCCTCTGGGGGCAGGGGGAGCCCAGACACCTAGGGGTTAGAGAAGGGGGGCTGGGAACAAGGACTCCCGGGTTCTTTCCCCAGCTGGGAGGGAAGTGGGGTCTAGGGGTTAGCGCAGGGAGACTGGGAGCCAGGACTCTCCTGGGTTCTACTGGTTTGCGCGACGGGCACCGATTCAGTGCTGGTGTAACGCGCTCCTCTCTCCCTCCCCACCCCCCAGGTGCTTTCGGAGGTGTGCGGACAGGAGATCACCACCAAACACATGTTGCCCACTGTACTGCGCATGGCGGGCGATGCTGTGGCCAACGTCCGCTTCAACGTGGCCAAGTCCCTGCAGAAAATAGGACCAATCCTGGACAACAGGTACAGCCAAGGGGCCGGGCCGGGGGCTGTGGCACTGGGCAGGGTTGGATGGGGTTGGGGAGGGGAGGTTGGAATCTGCTAGGGGAGTGGGGATGGGGGAGGGTATGGGGGCAGGGCGGTACTGAGGCAGGGCTGGGGGGCACCAGGAGGAGGGGCAGAGGGAGGCAGGACTCTCAGCCGCCATTCACCTCCACCCAAGTAGCTGTGATGGGAAGGGGGGGTGGGTTTCCCCTGGGCCAGGGTTCCGGTCTGCTCTGCCCCCCATGTCTCTTGCTCTGTGGGTCCCTCTAACTGCCCCCTGCACCCCACAGCACCCTGCAGAACGAGGTGAAGCCGGTGCTGGAGAAGCTCACGCAGGACCAGGATGTTGACGTCAAATATTTCGCACAGGAGGCCCTGACCGGTATGGGGTGGGGTTGGGACCGGGCTGCAGGCTCAGCCCCTGGGGGCCTCCCCGCTGTAGGGAGCGGGGTGTTGCTGGGCCCTGCCCAGCTGATCCAGCCTTGTGGGGCCCTGTGTGGTGTTGGGGTGGTGGGTGCTAGGCGAGGTCTGTAGTGATTACCTCCCATCACCAATCCCCCACCTGCTGGGAGCATGGGGTTTGGGGGTGTCTTTGTCGAAGGCCCCTTCTCTGCCCCCATGTCATATCAGGGCCCGCATTATATGATTAGGGCTGTGTTGGGGTGGGGCTTCTGGGTTCCCCCTCTCTGACCCAAGTCGGGGGGGGTGCCTTGGGGATACCCCATCTGGCTTCTGGGATTCTCCAGTGTGTGGGGATGGGTCTTCAGGGAGAACCAACCCCCCACCCCCCCCCACACACATCCAGAAGGTGGGGGAGGGTCTCTGGGGCTGAGAGCCATGGCCCTGTGATCTGACCCCCTCTCTCTCCTCCCCACAGTGCTGGCGCTGGCCTGACCTAGAGGATGTGCCCTGTCGTCTCCCTGACCTCCAGCTGCCGTCGGACCCTCACTCCCTGGCCCCTCCCCAAGCCTCTGTGCATGTGTATGAACCCCTGTTGGGTGGGGGTGCCCGACGGCCCAATACAGGACCCCCCCATTCCGATCAGCCCCTTCCCCCTCCGACAGTTCATCTCCCATCTGGACACTCACCGGGGCGCAGCACTCGGCCCCCCCAGTATTCCACCCCCCCACTCAAACACTGCAGCTTGGGGGGCGGCTCATTGCTCCCGGAGTCCCCCATCCCTGTGCTGCCTACCCCTCTGGACGGCTCGTCGCATCCCTCCTCAGCAGCTTCGCCCCCCCCCCAATCCCTACCCACCGCGGGACGGGTGCAGGAGGAGATCGGGGTGGGGGGGAAGGGGCGGCACTGATTTCAGCTGGTCTTAGGAAAGGCTCTGTCCCTCCCTGGCCCCCGGCTGTTCTGTACCACGTCCCCGCTCTCCTCCTTCTCTTCCTTCATCCATCTGCTTTTCTCACTCCTCTCTGCTGAAATCTGCCTCCTTCTCCTCTTCCCCTGCAGCATTAAACTCCCCCCAGACTCAGCATTGCCATCCTAGGCCCTCGTCCTTCCCAGAGAGCCCCCCCATAGCTCCCCAAAATCAAAACTCATCCCAATGCCCCCCCCCCGGGGGCGGGGGGGGCAAGTTTTAAGCAGAGAAGAGACCAAATCTCCCCCTGGTAACAGGGTTTCTTTAATGTGAATTTCGGCGCTGGTCAGTTTCATGCTGGGCTGGAGGGGTCTCCCTTGTCAGTTTCACCTTTGGGCTCTGGGCAGGTTCATGCTGGCAGGCGCCCGCCTGATGCCAGCCTCAGGGAGGCTGCAAATGCTTCTCAGCCATGGGGCAAAGGGCTTTCAGATCCAAACGCTGGAGCCTGGAACCCCCCGGGGCGATCTCTCCAGGGTGTGAGACGCTGATTAGAACATGGGGGGGCCCCTTGTGGCAGCGGGTCAGCTGACCTTCTCAAATCCTCTCTGCCAATCAACCCACACAAGGGTCTGAGCCCCCTTCCCCAGCCCCCATGGGGAGCTGGGATTTTACAGGCAACGCTTGGTGTGGGGTCATGACCTTGAGCTGGGTCATGGGGGTAAAATCTGCTCTGAGTTCACCCCACAGCCTCTCAGCTGTGGTAAGGAAAAGCCCCCACCCTTCAGGTGCTGCTGACTGGGCAGGAATTAGATCAGGATTTCCTCTGGGTTCTAGCCCCATGGCCGTCAATCCTGCTGCGGGCCCCTGCTTTCGGTTCTCTGGGGTTGTGCCCCTCACCTGGAAGGAGCGGGGCATCACTGAGGCCATCCCCATTAGATGGCTCTAAGTCAAGGGGCATTTAACCACTCAGTCCTGCCCTTACCATGCAAACGCCTGTGCCCCAGCGTGACCCTTCCCTTTGCTGCTGCCCTGGTGTCATGCACTGAGCAAATACAGGGTGATCCCTAACCCCCCGCACCCTTTAACACAAGCCCCCCCGTCCCCCTCCTCCTCCACACTGTTAGTGAAATGTCACTTTAAAGCCAATGTGTTTCTTTGTGAAAACTTGTTTTTATTTTTTTTTCTTCTCCATGATTAATAAAATGCTCGACCGTTCCTGCGTGACTGTGGTGTGGACAGAACTGAGCGGTTCTTGGGGGCGGAGTGGAGGGTGGAACAAAAGGATCTTAGTGCTGAAGCAACTTTGGGTGCCGGTGGGGTGCAGGGGCTGTTTATACAGCAATCCCTCACCTCCTGCTGCGATGCAGCCACCTCTGGGGTGGGGTAGCTGTTTATCCAGCTCCAGCGCAAGGCAGCTGCAGTGGCTGAGACATTCCGTAATGGAAAATCCTGTGTCCCCATGAAACCCCCCGGGGGGACATGTGGGCGGTGGAAGGGATTTGGGCTGGGGCTGGCAAGTCAAGGGCCGCAGGCCAAGCACCGAGGGGGTTTGTGACCCTTTCCCTGGAATTTCAGTCTCCTTCCAGACAAGCGCTGCAGTAGCTGGGGATCCTAGGACCATCCCTGCCCTCTGAGCCATCCAATCCCCTGGCCTGGGGCTGTGCCCCCTATAGGGGAAAGGGCCTATGTGCTGTTCCCTGTCCCCCTGTAACCAGTCAGTCCCCCAGCCTGGCGTTGGGTCTGCCTGTTCCCTGCCCCCCTCAGCCAGCCAGGCCCCCAGCCTGGGGCTGTGCCCCTTAGAGGGGAAAGGCCCCTCCACAATCACCTGGAGATCAGCCTGTCCGGGTTAACAAATCCCTTCCTTCTCTCCCTGTAAGTACTGTGACTGTTGGGGGCAGAGATGGGTCTGTCACCCCTTGTGGGGCTCTTCGTACCCCCCAGCGGAGGCCGGCCCCTCCAGGAGAGCTGGCTGAGGTTTTCCAAAGGGCAGAGCCTGTGTCAGAAAACGTGGCTTGATTGAAATAGACAAGCTGGGGAAGGCAAGTGTTGAGAGGCAGTTCCCTGCCGGGGGAGGCCGGTTCAAAGCGGGCGTTCGAACGGAATGGACTGAGCTGAGTTTTTTTCATTTCAAAATGACCCTTTCTTGGGTTTCCGGGTGGATTTGATGATTTTGGTGTTTCTAAGACTGGAATCAAAGCAGCGGCTGACCTGGGTTGATTGTGCGCTGGAGGAAATGGAAAGTCCCAAATGGGGTATATTGTGTTTCTGTAATACATAAAAAGGACAACCAGTCCCCATTTTTGTATTATTTTTTGGGTGCGGGGTGGGGTGGGGGTGGGTCATGTTTTGGCCAATAGCCTATTTTTATATGGTAAACAATTAATTGGTATTTTATCAATTGTATTTAAAAAGTCCCGAGGGCATCAAACTCTTTCAATGCACCCAAACCAACCTTAGGGGTCCCCTCCTCCCCCCGAAACGTTGGGGCGAGTTTCACAATCTGGTATCTTTAGATACATCTCTTTCATTTCCATTTTGAAACGAAGTTGGGGGGGTTTCCTTCCAAACCACACTTGCTCTTCCTGGCCTGAGCTCCCACCTGAGGCTGGTAGAGATAAGGCGGGACGTGGAGCTTGAGCTCTTGGTTCTAGCCACGTCTTTGCCCCCAGCCTAAGAGGAAAGGACTCAGGGTAGGTGACATAGGAAAATGTCCACATCCCCGGCAGTGACTCTGGTTCACAATAGGGAGAGCACCCCCCCACCCCAGCTCACTCCCTGCAGCACAGGGCCCCCCAGCACCACATTGGGGCACCAGGGCCAGTCCTGACTGCCAGGGGAGAGCCCCCACCGTGTCCCCTGTAGCACAGCGCCCCCTAGTGCCATGCTGGGGCATTGGGGCCAGCCCTGACTGCCGGGGAGAGCTCCCCCAGCCGGCTCCCTGCAGTGCGGCGTCTCCCCCTTCACACATGGGTTGGTGGTGCCTCCTCAAAGGCTGCCTTGAAGGCCTGCACCAGGGGCCTCCGCACGGCGTCCTGGAACTCCCTCCCGGCAAAGACGTAGAGCAGGGGGTTGATGCAGCTGTTGAACATGGCCAGGCACTTGGAGAGAGGGATGGCCACCAGGCGCACGGCGCTGGGCACGTGGGCTGTGGAGATCCTGGCCAAGGCCAAGGCATGGTAGGGCAACCAGCAGAGGAAGAAGCAGAAGATGACTCTGGTGACCACCAAGAGGGGCTTGCTGGACTTGGCCAGCCTCTTCCGCCTCATGGCCACCACCAGGACAGAGTAGGACACGGAGATGACCACCAAGGGCAGGAGGAACTGGGAGAGGAAGATGAACACGGTCAAGATCTCGGCCTCTTGGCGCCTCCAGTCTTGGAAGACGTCCAGGTTGCTGCAGGAGCTCCGGTTCCTCTCGAAGGAGAGCTCGGAGAAGAGGAAGGAGCTGGGCACGAAGGTGGCCAGCGACAGGGCCCAGATGGCAGCACAGGCCACCCAGCTGAGCCGTGGCGTGCGGTGATTGCGGCACCAGACCGGGGCCACCACCACCACGCACCGGTCCACGCTGATGGCACTGAGCAGCAGGACCCCGCTGCAGAGGCTCAAGCCGAAGAGGCAGTTGGCCAGTTTGCAGGCCACGGAGCCGAAGGGCCAGTCCAGATCCAGGGCCAGGTACAGGACGGTGACCAGGATCAGAGAGGTGGAGGCCACGTCGGCCACAGCCAGGTTGAAGAACCACACGGTGTTGGGGGTCCAGCGCAGCTTCCAGCCCGTGACCCACAGCACCGCCCCGTTCCCGGCCGCCCCCGCCAAGAAGATGAAGCCGAAGGCCACGGCCGTGGTGACCTTCATGGCCTGGCGCAGTGGGGCCTCCCCGGATGTGGCGTTGACGGGCAGCATCGCCCTGCCGAAGAGACAGGGTAGGTTGTGAAAGGCCCTACGCTTGGGTTCTCTCCTATGGCGTCGGATGTGGGGCTGGGAGCCAGGACTCCTGGGTTCTATCCCTGACTCTGGGAAGGGAATGGGGTCTGGTAGGTTAGAGCAGGCAGGGGCTGGGAGCCAGGACTCATTAACTGGGCCACCATTGAGATCCCAGACTCAGTTGAATGCTGGGATGATCCGGACCTCCACCCCCACCGTTACCCATGTGCTAACTAAACTAATGGTTGTGGACAGTGTGTGTGTACACGCCTGTGTGTGTCTCTGCTGGAAGGAATGAGTGTGTGTGTGTGTGTGTGTGACGGCTCCCCCCACCCCCGTCCCTCGCTCTGAGCCCTGCTCACTTAGTGATGCTAATAGGCACAGTTGCATTGATCGCAGGCCCCCCTCCCTGCTTTGTTCCCAAACAACCAGCTGGGCCCAACGCTTCCATCCTAATGCGTCAATTTCCCAGCCCCGTGGGGGTGAGAGCTCAGCTGGGTGCTGTGCCGGCGGGGGGCCCGGGAGGGCCGGCGTCGCTCGGCACTGGGCGAGGAGCCAGCTCCCAGGTCCCCTACCCCCGTGGGGGGTGGTTAGGGCTTGAGCACGGCTGCTGGGGCCCAGACCCCTGTGCCAGCTGGAGTTGGGGGCAGAGTGAGGAAGGGGAGGGGATTTGGGGGGGAGGAAGTGGGATGGGAGAATTGGAGTCAGGACTCCTGGGTTCTTATCCCCAGCTCTGGGAGGGGAGTGGGGTCTAGTGGTTAGAGCAGAGTGGGGGGGAGGGCGGGAGCCAGAAGCAGGACTGCTGGATTCTCTCCTTGGGTCTGGGAGGGGAGTGGGGTCTATTGGTTAGAGGGTGGGGGGCTGAGAGGCAGGACTCCTGGTTTCTATCCCCAGCTCTGGGAGGGGAGTAGGGTCTAGTGGTCAGAACGAGGGGGGTTGGGAGCCAGGATTCCTGGTTTCTATCCCCAGCTCTGGGAGGGGAGTAGGGTCTAGTGGTCAGAACGAGGGGGGTTGGGAGCCAGGATTCCTGGTTTCTATCCCTAGCTCTGGGTGGGTTTAAGGTTGCCAACATCATATTTCAAAAACAAGGGACTATTTTCTTAGCGACCCCCCCGCCCCCGATATTGTTGTTATGATTATCATTAATAACAACCCTCAGCAGGACTCACCTACATTCGCCAGGGGGTTTTCTTGCTGCTTTTTGCAGAACTCAGCGAGTCCCGAGCTTCTTGCAGGGAGATGGAAAACCAAGGGACGCTCCTTGTAATAAAGGACGGTTGGCAGCCCTGCCAGTGGGTCAGAGCAGGGGGGCCCTAGGAGCCAGGACTCCTGGGTTCTCTTCTTGCTTCTGCGACTGATTCGCTGGAGGAGTGCCTGTCGCTCCTTCCTCGGCTCTTGCATTTACACCTCTCTATAAATACTGTCCCCCAGCCCCCCCCCCCCCCCGCAACCACTAGATCCCGCTCCCTGCCCAGAACAGTGGAGGGAACCCAGGAGTCCTGGCTCCTGCCTCCCCCCCCCCAACCACTAGACCCCACTCCGCTCCCACAGCTGGGGCTAGAACCCAGGTGTCCTGGCTCCAAGCCCCCTCCTCCCAGCCCTAGACCCCCCTCCTCCCGGCCAGGAACAGAACGTACCTTCCCTCCCCTGCCAGTTGCCACCGCCCCCTGGCAGGACCCGTTCACCTGTCCCCCCCCCCCCGGCAATGTTCCCAGACACACTGTACAGCTGTAGCCAGAGCAACGGCATCCATCCTCAAGGTCTCAGCTACAGAGAAGGCGGGGAAGGGGGGGGGGGGAAGAGCCCAGCCCTGGCTGTGAATAGAACCCAGGAGTCCAGACTACTCTCCCCCCACCCTCTACCCACTAGACCCTACTTGTCTCCCAGGAGCCCTGCCTCCCAGCCCCCACATCTAACCACTAGATACCACTCCCCTCCCAGAGCCGGGGGTGGAAGGAACCCAGGAGTCCTGGCTTCCAGCCCCCCTGCTCTAACCCATTAAATCCCAGCTCCCACAGCAAAAGCAAAATCACTCACCTGAGGAGGAACGATTCTCCAGGGGTTAGAGTTGGCGAGGGGGGTGGGCTGGGAGCCAGGACTCCTGGGTTCTATCCCTGGCCATGGGAGGGGAGTGGGGTCTAGTGGGTTGAAGTGGGAGGGGCTGGGAGCCAGGACTCCTGGGTTCTACTCCTGGCCCTTAGAGGAGAGTGGGGTCTAGAGGTTAGAACAAAGGACGGGCTGGGAGCCAGGACTCTTGCTTTTCCCGTGCCTCAGTTTCCCCACCTGTCTGAGTCG